GCCCCCGGAAGCACCCTGACGAGAGGTTAATATTGTCTTCAAAAAAAAAAAAAAAAAAAAAAGCCTGCGCTGTTCAGACAGAAATCCATCTTACAAAGTAGGAAATTGCCGAAGTTTGCTGCAATGGCTCATGCATTTGCATTTCTCTCCCTTATGTTAGTCCCAGCTGAGATTTTCCTTTGTACGGAGAGCACCGAGGTAACAAAAGTGTTTTGGTTTTTTTTTGTTTTCATCAGGGATCAACCAATGTGGTTTACCAAGCCCATCAGCTGTTCAGACAGAAATCCATCTTACAAAGTAGGAAATTGCCGAAGTTTGCTGCAATGGCTCATGCATTTGCATTTCTCTCCCTTATGTTAGTCCCAGCTGAGATTTTCCTTTGTACGGAGAGCACCGAGGTAACAAAAGTGTTTTGGTTTTTTTTTGTTTTCATCAGGGATCAACCAATGTGGTTTACCAAGCCCATCATGTCAGCAGGAGTAAGAGAGGACAAGTCGTCGGTACCAGGGGTGGATTTCGAGGCTGCACGGTTTGGCTAACAGGTATTTTCGTCTGGGTGTGAAAGCGCGGCTTCACGCGTGGAACCCACTTGCATACATGAGTATGGCTCGGAGGTGAGGATTTGGGATCCGCGGGAAACATCAGCGTTCCTTCTGAACTGGGAATTGCAAAACATTTACACGTGGGAAGCACCGACATGTGGTGCTGGCGCAGCAAGATACTCTCCCTGGCACCTGCTGCCCATAACTAATGTTTTTATGAATTCCTCAGTCGTTATCGCGCTCCTTTGAACACGTCAGAAGCCCTAAGGGTCGCACTTGTTGTTCCCAAGTGCGTGACTGAGAAAGCCTCGGCTCGAATCCAGCCGGTCCTTGGCAGTGAAACGCGCCCAGGGTTGTCCCAAACAGCATGCGGATGTTTTGATTCTGGGTCGGTGGGAAGTTTATGGGGACACCTATGTTTACTGCATTAAAAGTGACCTCACGAGCGGCACAACAAGGCAGTCGTCTGAAGAATAAATACTGCCAGACAGTGAGTCGCACTGGAAGCGATTTCTTGCACAGCCACAGCAGGTTTCTTTCGTTATTTCTCATTTCGTACACCTTCCGACGTGTTGCCCCGGTCTTCTGCTTTGAAAGATCAATTCATTGTTTGGGGATTAAGGGCTGCTAGAAATGACAATTGCATTTCTTTTGCTCCACTAATGTTTACACAACTCTATCTTTTGCTGCTTGTCCAGTTGTTTCTTTACTTGTTAAATATTTGGATTTTCTTTGGCTGCCGGAAGATGTTGAAAGACGTACTTGGAAGGGTTTGTAAAGCCATTCTGATTTGCCTTCCTATCAGCTTATGTGCTAGATGTTGGATTAAAACACATTTCTGTTTTGTTCTCCTCTTTGATTTCGAAAAGAAGGCCTAATCTGCTTTAATATCATTTCTGAAGCCAAAAATCCCATCCAAGGCAATTTCAATTTCCTTCTTTTTTCGAATATCACTCAAAAATCTTGTGTCTGAAAGATTCGAGCTTCTCTGGCTGATGATTATTCTTTGAAATAGACGGTGGTCTCCTAACTTTCCATCAATTTAGTTTTAAGAGACTATATGGAAGGCCATTTCATTGCATGGACTATATGGATTCAATGGAAGGGCATTTGAATGCCCTGCGTTGCCAGCTCAGGAGAGCTATCAGTTAGTCTGTTGTACTACAAAAACCGAAGGCACAGCCAGCAGGATTCACCTCTGCCCAGCCAGGTTTCCTCTCCAGCACAAACACGGCTGTTCTGCATCAGACCAAAAGTCCACTTCGCCCAGGGTCTTGTCTCCACGGGTGGTCAGTAGTAGGTGTCACGCAAAGGGTTTCAGAACAGGTGAGCAGATGATGCTATCTCCCTAGGAGATTCTCCAAGGCTAAGTGTTTCCTGAGACAGGTGTGGTGTTTGGAGGTGTTATCTCCCCTAAGTCAAGGTCCTCTTCCATCTCAAGGAGTTTTCAACACATAGATCCCTACCCAAGGGAAGGGAGGAGTTTGGTGCTCCCGGTGCGCTTGCCGCTTTCTGACTCAGCCAGTAGCAGGTGCTTTTTGTGCAAGTGGATGGAGCTGGGATGGGAAGCAGCCACCTCGGTTTGGATTGTTGTCTTCCTGGCTGGCGCCTCCAGGAGACACGGGCAGCTGAAGATGTGCTTCTTGTCTACGCGACCATCCTGCTCCTGCTCGCGCAGATCTGTGGGTGCTGCTCCTGCAGAAGGAGGTGTCTGTGGATGCAGAGGGGCAATTGCTGCTGCTGGAGCCTGTCCCACCCCGCAAGGGTGCAGCGAGGTTCAGTCCTGGGATTCAGTCTGGGAGAGCAGTTGGCTGTTCATAGGGGAAACAGGAGGAGGAGGAGGAAGATGCTGAGAGACTTGCAGGCAACAGCGTCCTTTCAAGCTTCCCCTACTTACTGGTACCTATTCGTCTCACCATGGCTCAGCAAGAGGTACTTTTGCAACACTGCTGGGTTGAACCCCGCCAGATGTTGGGATATAGCAGCTTTTCTGACGGCATTAATGCCGCCCTTTCAATAAGAAGGGTTGGCCAGGGCTCTGTGGTGGTAACTGCGTGCTAAAAAGATGAATCCAACTTCCCTGTCTCGTTCCTTCCTTAAAGCAACTTCAGGCAGAAGGAGTTCCGTTGCCAGTGTCCCAGGAGGTATTGCGTTACGCTCTCATTTTCACTCTTTTGACCCCAAACCTGAACCTCGCTTTTCTGTCTCCACCAGGCCTTTCTGGAGCTGGCAAGACAACCATCGGCTTTGCTCTGGAAGAGTACTTGGTCTCTCATGGCATCCCCTGCTATTCCCTGGATGGCGATAATGTTCGGCATGGCTTGAATAAAAACCTGGGTTTCTCGGCTGGGGACCGCGAGGAAAACATCCGCCGCATCGCAGAGGTGGCCAGGCTGTTCGCCGACGCTGGGCTCGTCTGCATAACTAGTTTCATTTCTCCTTTCGCAAAGGTAAACTCACCGCGTATTCTGCTCTTTTCTGGGCAGCCTTGATCTCATGATTGTTCTTAGGGAAGAGAGATTTACATAGAGGACTTCCTATATATGCCATCAGACGCTCCTTTTAACTTCTTCTCTGTTCTTCTGTAAAACACCACCGATCCACAGAACTGCATGTGATCAGTACAGATTTCTAGAGGGCAGTTTGACGTGACCTCTTTGAATACGTTCAGTGTTACAAATTGATTAAAAGCTAAGAGAAGTTGAAAATCTTCCTACAGAGGCTCCTAATATTAAAGAGACATAGAAACAATAGCCTGTCATAGTGCTATCACTGCTCTGTTTGAAGAAGTATTGATTGTGGTTTTATGCTTCCTGAGAATACCAAGTAGCTGCTGTTATCAAGCTGATGCAAGCAGTTCCTTCTTTTGACACAGGGCAGATAATTATTCACACTCTGAAGTTCTGCTGTCCTGCTTAATGAAGAGATCTTCTTGATGTTTCAGATGGAAAAAGCTGAAAACAGATCAAAGTTGTAGATTTTGGGTTTTTTTAAAGTATCTTTAAAGAGGGGGGGGGAAGGAAGATGAAAAACCCTTATTAGAATTCATGTAAATTTAATAAATCTATACCAGAGACAAATGTGTCGAATTCCAGGACATGTCATGTAGGCGTGTCCCAGGTGCTTGCTGCAATTCAGACACACGTGATTTTCCTGTCTTTCTTCTAACAGGATCGTCAAAATGCACGGAAAATTCATGAGGCAGCTGGACTTCCTTTCTTTGAGATCTTTGTAGATGCTCCTCTAAATATTTGTGAAAGCAGAGATGTGAAGGGCCTGTACAAAAAGGCAAGAGCTGGAGAGATCAAAGGTATGGAAGAGCGAGCTCTTATTTTGCCTTTTGCTTTCCGAAGCGTTGGATAGCGTGTCGTTGTGGCTCTGCACATAGAGGTGGGTTACTAAAGACTCCTCATAGTGCACAGGAGTATCCTGTTTCCCTAATTTTTCTGTCACAAGTGTCATTTGTAGTACCTGGAATGGTTGAAGGCTTGCTTGGTGTTTGTACAGCGTTGTTTGCTCTAGGGTACCGAGTATTACGTTATTTAAATTTAGTTTGGGTTTAATTGTCTGTAGGATTCACGGGGATTGACTCAGAGTATGAGAAGCCCGAATCTCCTGAACTAGTGTTGAAAACGAATGTTGCGTCGGTGTCTGAATGTATTCAGCAGGTTGTGGAGCTCCTCCAAACACAAGTAGGTCATTTTTATGCCACCGCTGCCGGCAGCTTGTAAATCTGCTTTCGGATACGGACTTTTTGGTGTGCCTATGAAAACCAGCATGTTACTTACAATTGCTGTCTTGTCTCTCTCTTTCAGAACATCGTGCCCCACTGCTCGATTAAGGATGTTCTTGAGCTGTTTGTACCTGAAAATAAACTCGATAGTGTCCGAGCTGAAGCAGAGATGCTGCCATCCGTAGAGATCACTAAGGTATCGTCACGCACGGCTGCTGTGCTGTGATTCAGTCGCTGTTCAGCTGTTGGAAGGGTAGACGCTTCGACGGGGATGTTGGTAGAGGGGGCTCTGTTCCTCTGATGGCCGTGTCCTTTTGTGGCTGTGGTTTACGGCGAGCTGGAGCGTGGTCCTGATCCTCAGCCGTTTTCTGCCGTGTCTCCACCCTGTGCTGTAGCGAGCCAGGGCCGGCACTCTCCTTCATTGTGTTAGCACAGCCCCGCAAGCAGTAGTGCTATGAAAGTACGAGTCTGGCTTAAAAAAACCCCAAAAACCCAAACCAATCCCCCCCACGGCTTTCTCCCCCTTAATGAATGCCCTGTGTTTGAAGCAAAGCAAATGAGCGCGCTGTTGCGGTGGAAGGGAAGGAAAAGCAACCTCTGAGCGTGACCTGGTGACAGGAGTGCCGTTTGGGTTTGTTTTGCAGCTGGATCTGCAGTGGGTGCAGGTGCTGAGCGAAGGCTGGGCCACTCCGCTGACCGGCTTCATGCGCGAGGCGGAGTACTTGCAAGTGATCCATTTTGGCACCCTGCTGAATGGTACGAATCCCCACGCTTTGCGTTAACGCCGGCCGGCAAGCCGCTGCGGGACATGACGCTTACCCCGCAGTGTCTCAGCAGGCAGCCGTACGGAAAAGCTTAACGCTCGGCCGCGTTGCCCTCCTTTCCTCTCGCGTGTTAAATGCGAGGGCCCGTAAAGGACCGCGGGGGCCAGGGGGCCGTGCTCCAAAATGCACCAAAGGGTACGGAAGGTGACAGAGTTCGCCGTGCTGTGGCCGGGACCCTGGCTCACGGCTTCGACATCTCACACGGTGCCGATCGAACTTTTCGGCAGCCACTGCGTAGCTCTTGCCGTGCTTGGTTATACCAGGGTAAATGAAGATGCAAACCCAAAGCCAAGTAAGCAGGGAGGCTGCCAGGCTGAATTTGAGGTGGGGCGAGAAGGCAGCTGTTCCTTAGAAACAGGAGCAGAGCCCGATTTCACTTTTTTCTCCCCGTTTTCTGTCTTATCCATTACAGTAAATTGAAATAAATCAGATTTACCTATTCATTAGCAACATGTAAGAAGTGCTTCATCCCTGGGAGAGGCAGAGTATTCGGGCAGTGACCATCTACAGCTGAGGCCAGGGCGGTGGGTATTTCTTGTCCTGCTTCTCAACTCTAGATGCCGTCGCTGTGACTTCACACGCACGCGGGGCGCTCACTTTGGGTTTTGTGATCTCTGGCGTCGGGGATTTGGGATCTTGGCGAGCGAGTCCCTTTGAGCCTTGCCCTCCTTCTAGAGGGTCCCTTGGTCGCGCGGGGCAGTGCCTCGCTGCTGTTACTAGGATTTGGGCACCGCGCAGCAGATGCAAAGCTCAGGGCTGCTCGCTTTGGCCTGGAGGAGTGTCTGGGGGGGGTCCTTCTGCTTTCGGACACGTCGTAGCCTTTTACCTCCCGCCTAGTGTGCAAACAGCGTTGGAAAGCACACATCCTTGTTATCAGACCCTGATCCGTGGTCTTAGAGCTGCCTGTTGTGCCTGACGAGGTCGTGGAGGCGCCCCGTAATGACCACATTGCTCCGGAGCTCCGCACTTTGCGCTGGAGGCTCGTCTCAGCAAGCATCTGTTTTTGGGGCGCTCTCCCAAACCTGTCGGCATCACTGAGCACAGCTCCTCCAGGCTCCGCAGGTCAGGAGTTGTAGAGCTGTACGGGGTAGGGACAAAGCCCAGGACACCCGCTTTTAGCGGGGAATGAACTCTCCAGAGCAAGGTCTTTGCAGTAGAGGGCATCAACATCAGTCCCCGGTCCACCTTGCCTCCACAGAGGTCTCCAAACTCAACATCAGCGTGGTCAGGCCTGGAGGGTAGCATCTGGACAGGAAGGAGAACATTCCTGGTTGGCTTGGATGAGCTTTAGGACACGGTGGAGGGTTTCCATCTCCTGGTGCCGAGGCTGGAGCACGTGTTGCCAAAGAGATGTTTGAGGCTGGTCTTCCTGGAGTCGTTGGCCCAGTCCTTTAGCACTGGGGTGCGGGTGATGTTTTTGGCAGCTCCAGCTGTGCCTGGAAGGGCTGCGATCGTTTTGGTGGACTTGTGCGAGTTAGCGCTCCTCTCACTCGGACTTTGAGCAGTAAATCCCACCTCGAAATACTGACAGTTGGGTGGATGAGGTGCTTTGTGTAGGGGCATGATGACCACCAGGAAAAAAGGCGGACTGGGTGACAGCGAAAGCGTGGGTGTTGCAGGTCGTTCCCGGGCTGTGCCACCCGTGTTGGATGGGTGAGCACCGGGGAGGCTGGAGCAGCGCCGGGGAGGACCGCGGCTGCGCGGGCAGACACCCTGCCGGCGGTTAGGCAGTGCTTGCCGGAGGTTTTAATTGAGCGGCTTTGGTTCTTGAAACGGCTGCTGTAACTGGTGCCCGTGAGTGTTAATTATCTTAATTGTGTTTGTGTTCTCTCAGGAAGGAATCGCTCTGTAGCTGGTATGTATATAACTGTTCTTAGGTTGTACAGAAATTACTTCAATTTAGATTTTTTTTGCTATAAACTAATGTTTTGAGATTTGCCAAAAAAAAAAAAAAAAAGAAAATTATTAAGACTAAACACAACCACAGCCTGTTTATGATTCAGCTGGTTACGAGGTGGCATAACACACCCCGTGTCCTGCCAACCGGTCTTCACAAAAATCCCAGTCGTGTAATTTTGTGATTACCTTTGCTGGAGTGATTTTTTTGTTTTGTTTTTTTAACTCTGCATTTTGCATTTGGAAATGGAGCGTGGAGATCCTCAGCTTCAGCATCATTTCTTGGTTTTGTAATCCAGCTTTTTCCGTGCTGACTTTTATCGACTGATCGCTGGTTAATGTCATTTAAATGTATGAAGTTGATATTGATTGGATCCCATGTGACTATACTTATGATTATTCATGAAGGTGCTTGTAAAACTGCTCTCTGGCAGACGAATGATACCTAGTCGTGAATTAAAAGTAAATGCAAACATTTTAATAAAGATCTTAAAAAAAGAATCTACATCATAGTCAAAATCCTCCAATTAAGACTCTCAAGGGTCCAAAATGATTTCGGTCAGATCAGAACAAATTGAATCAGTGATTTGTTTGTTCTCGTTTGTGAATGGAAACCCATGGGAGAAGACTGATTCTTTTCAATTAATACTGGGGTATATAACTTCTGTATTAATACCGGCATATCCAAGGAGAAATGGTGGAGTGAGGATAAATCCTTAGCGGAGTGAGGATAAAACCAACATGACTTCAAGGTATTTAGAGACAACACTGAAATTAGAAACTGCACATGCAAATGTCGACTCGCTGTATGCACACAGAAAATAGATTAAAAATGGACTCTGCAGAGAGATGAAGGAAGAGGAGTAACAGTATAGAGATATCCAGAAAAAACCCGAAGAATCCAAGTGTGATGGTGTTTTCCCTGTGGAAGAGGCAGTTCAGGAGGCGTGCAGGGAGTGAGATGCCCCAGGGAGCACCAACCCGGAGGCGGGGTTGCATTTTCCAAGTACATTTAAATTTTTCAAAGAGGCTTTACAATAAGCTCACTGGAGAGGAGCCAATCTTTCCAGGGAGATAGAGAGTCCAGAAAGTAATGAAGTGCTCCAGGTGTCTTTGAAACATCTCTGGCCCAAAGATAAGGAGCTCTGGTATTCCACTATCATCACTGTTTAATAGCAGTGCAGCAAAAAAACGGGGCAGTGAATAAATTTACGTGACTGATGGTGAGTCCCTGAGCTAGTCCTGGAAAAATTTGGCTCTCCAAAGGGAGAACATGTGCCTCTAAAAATCTCTGTTTACTCAATGCCCGAGACTGGAGGACGTCAAGATCTTCCCCCTCTCTTGCCAGACGGTGTTGTCAACCTGAGCATCCCCATCGTGCTGCCGATCTCCACGGAGGACAAGGAGCGGCTGGAGGGCTGCGAGGCGCTGGCGCTCAGCTACGGGGGGCGCAGGGTGGCAATCCTGAGGAGCCCCGAGTACTTCGAGCACAGGAAGGAGGAGCGCTGCGCCCGCGTCTGGGGCACCACCTGCGCCAAGCACCCGCACGTCAAAGTAAGTTTGTCCCCTTGCTGCTCTGGGAAACCTGGCCAGGATGGGAAATGGGGGCAGGAGCTGGAGAACCGAACCTTTCCAAGGTTTCGAGGGCTGTGGGTGTCCTGTCTGGTCTCCAAGCCCAACTCCTCGCTCGGAACCATCGCGTTCCAAGCAGGCAGGACTGAATTTTTAGGCTCGCGAGTTAATGCTTTTCCTAAGCGGCAAGTGTAGCATCAGGTAACAAGCGCAAGGTGAAAGGGAAAATGAGCGTGCTGCTGAGGAGCTGCTCCTTTCATTCACTCGTCTTCACCGGTGTGCACACGTCCTAACGTTTTTTGGCATGACCACCAACTTAGCCCCCAAAATTTCCCTGCGCTTGGTGTGTGACGATCTCGGTGATGCTACCAAACACTAATGCTGCAGACTCATCGTCCTCTTAGCTACGTTTTACTTCTCAATTTGGCTGTGTCATCCAGGCAGCCAACAAGGGTGTTTTACATTTTTACAGCTTATCTCTTCCCACTTACTCTCTGGCAGTACAGAGAACATCATCCCTTAGAAAGGGAGAGCTCCAGGTTACACCGAGGGACTTGAGCTGCCTGCTTAAAAAGGCTAAAGCCATGTTAATTCTTTTCCCCTATCTTAAAATAACCCGTTTAATTATTCAGCAGCAGTTGCTCACCTTGCAACAAGCTTATTCCTGTTATATTCCCAGGAGGAAAGAGCAAAGAATGAGGTGGAGGAAGGTCTCGTGCCATAACCTGTAGACCCCCAGCAGGCAGAGAGGAGCCCAGCACCCAGCTGGGTGCAGTGGTGGGGTCTCAGCGGGTGGTCCCTCGCTTTACGGGCTTGCGCTGCTCATGGCAGTCAGTTCCCGTGGTCACCGTGAGAATGTTTTCCACTGAACAAGACGGGAAGATCACCCTACAAACGGAGTCAAGCCTAACGCTTGTCAAAGGAGGTTGTGAAAGGGGAAAGGAGGTATTTTGCTGTCCCCTCCATAATGCACGTGTGCGTAATTCACAGATGGTGATGGAGAGCGGAGACTGGCTGGTTGGTGGAGACCTCCTCGTGCTGGAGAAGATCAAATGGAACGACGGGCTGGACCAGTACCGCCTGACACCGCTCACTCTCAAGCAGAAGTTCCGAGAAATGAACGCTGGTGAGTGCCCTGGGTTAGCACCGGTGGCACCAGGAGATTTCTCTGATCTGTGATCGCAGCACTTGCCACATTGCTTCTGTATGCTCCCAGAATGGGACTCTTGGGGTGGGGCGAGCAGTAAGAGCGACGCAGGGCGCGGCACGAGAAGCGGCGCGGGGTCTCCTTGGTTAGGAACGGTGCTTGTGATGGGCTGCGTCCCCAGTGGGCGCAGCACTGGGCTGGAAAGCCTCGAGCGTCCTGCTCGTGTCCTCCCTGGCAGGTCAGGGCCTCTCTTTCCGCACCGCGGGCGTTTAAAGCCCTGTGCCGACGTGCTTGGCCTTCACGCCTGGGGGACGGGTCAGGTGTGTGTCCCAGCGGGTGTCGGACACTTACCCTCGCTCTGGGGAGAGAGCGTTGGCCTTCCTGAAGGAGCCGTTGGGCTTGGAGAGGTGGGAGGTCGCTTCTAAAGTCAGGGAACTCGCTGGAGGTGTCCAGTGGCATCTAAAGACATTGTAGGAGAGCTGATAGGACTGAAATCAGCCCAAAGGAAGGATGTGCAATGAAAATAGACTTGGCAGAGCGATGAAGAGGCACTGTACGTGTGTGAAACACTCATCTAAGGTATCTAAGGTCTCGCTCATGTGAAGACAGGACGTGCATCTTACAACGTACATATCTTACATCTGTGTTGAAATGTCATGTGTTGATGAAGTCCGATGGTCAGCCCAGGCCTGTGACCCTCTGAATCTTTCTCTTTTAGATGCTGTCTTTGCATTTCAGCTGCGCAACCCCGTCCACAACGGGCACGCCCTGCTCATGCAGGACACACGGCGGCAGCTTTTGGAGAGGGGTTACAAAAACCCTGTGCTCCTTCTGCACCCCCTGGGAGGATGGACCAAAGATGACGATGTCCCACTGGAGTGGCGGATGAAGCAGCACGCAGCGGTGCTGGAGGAGCAAGTCCTGGACCCCAAGTCGACCATCATTGCCATCTTCCCCTCTCCCATGCTCTACGCCGGCCCCACGGAGGTAACGTAGCCGTCAGCCGCTCGCTGCGACAAGGCGTGAAGCCTGTCCGTGGGGAGGCCGGCTGCCTGCGCAGCTCCAGAAGGTTGCAGGGCAGGGGGTGGGTAGCCATTGCCTTGCTGTTAGCTCCCTCGATGGTTTGCCCGCAGCTTGCTGCGGCAGGCGGC